ATTGCATATGGTCATTGCAACTTGGCATGGTATAGTTATTAGCAGGTAGAGACCGTTGATAGTTTAAGTATATGCTCTTTTCAAGAGGTTGGTATAGTAGTTGAGGATGTTTGATAGTTTAAATGCTCACAAAGACATTTTTTTTCCTACATTAATAGCTCTATATATATTTTGATAGCGATTGTTAATGTAATCTCTAAGTACATATTACTCTTTATACTTAATTATCTATATATGTTATAAATATAGTTTAAGTTTGAATCCAATACCATAGAATATGTTTCTATTTTGGCTTTACATGCCATGAAATAAAGATTTAGATCTAATCTTAATTTTATTTATTTTAGTACAATCACTATTTCCTATAAAAAATTTGAGAATAATTTTTACCTTTACCTATTTTTTCTTTAAAAAAAAATACAAATACAGAGACATTTTTTAAGATATAATGAAAAATTAAAATTAAGAGATAATCATTTGACTTAATAGGAAAAAATATTTATTTTCCTCAAAATTTTTTAAATAACTATTACTTTAAAATAAATCCTAAAACAATTATATATTAATAGTGTACTTTATATATAAAAATATATTTGAATTACAACATCAAATGATAGGGTAGTGAAGGACAGCTAGCCACCGGTCAAAGAAGAATGTTGACTGCAAATTAATAAATCTGAGGTTAAACTAACTCTTCTTAATTTGATAGTTGGTAATGGTATGCACCCTACTGCCTAAAAATAATTAATTAGTGGTTTGGAGGAAGAAATTTGCTGGTGTTAGATGAGACATAAAATGAAATAGCTTAAATTAATTCAGACACATTACAATATCTAATATTATTTTTTTTATTTATAGTTGGGGTATTTTAAAATTAAATTTTATATATTTTAAAACTAATTATTTTTTAGAAAAATTTTAATGATAAACCTTTATATTGACTTGTACTCAAACAAATTAACTTTTTAGCTAAAGCTACAAAAAGACAATAATACCCTCAATAAATCATGGATGTTATTTTTATCTTTTTATAGTTTGCATTGATAATTTTTTTGTTGGTAAAACACCTTTTTTGTTTATATAGTTAAAAGATACTGTGAAAAGTATTTATGCATGCATTTGAAAATATTTTAATGGAAAAAATTAAATTTATTAGAAAGAGAACATGGGTTCTCATCAATTTTTTTTTTATCGGTCAAACATTGTCTTATAAATCTAATTTAATTTCTTTAAAAATTAGCATTGACTTGAGTAATGAGAAACATGTGAACTTACCAAAAACTCAAGGGTAGAGCTCAATTATAAATGGTAGAGATACTTTAGAGCTCAATTCAAGCCAGCTTCTCTTCCTTTCCTCCTCCATCTTCTTCTCTTAACTACTCTGTAACTTGTTAAATTAGCCATGGCTTCCAACAACTTTAAGTTTTTATTTAGGTTGATTTCGCTTCTTATAGCCACTGCCTCTGCTCAGTTGTCCTCGAACTTTTATGCAACAACATGCCCCAATGCACTCACCACCATTAAATCAGCAGTGGCATCCGCAGTCAAGAAAGAGGCTCGCATGGGAGCTTCCTTGCTTCGTCTTCACTTCCATGACTGCTTTGTTAATGCAAGTCACCTTTTCATTCTTCTCTTCCCTTATTCGTTTGTCAAATTCTTTATTTCTACCTTTATTACAGCAAATTTATCTGCAACCAATTCACATGCATTTATTTCTGTATATACTGACATTTTGCAATTTTGCATATATTTGTGATTGTTCTAAACTAATTAAAATGTGTTTATGATTATGTATGTAAATGTCTGTCATTTGCAAAAATGATTTTTTTTGTACTAACTTTTAATATTTGAAAGCCATATTATATTTTAAGTAATATATAGTTGAGTGAAATCAAATCCTATAAGAGAAATTTTTTTTCAACATCTATTTCTCTATTCATAAAACTAGAATTTTAGATCTTATTTAAGAGAAACTGAACTCTCTTCACTTAGACTAACAGATTATTGGTAACAAAAGACTTTCTAACTAATGATTTATTATTAAACTAATGATTAATTACTTACAAAATATATATATTTCTTTTCCTTTTTTTTTTCCTATATATCATGATATAACTTGCACCTAGCTTACCACACCAATTAGCTATAGGTCTTATGAAAGGTACACCTTACAATCTCATATGCTGGGTTCAAATCCTTCCTTCTTAAATTTGTATCTGTTTAATAAAATATATATATGATATTAATATTTATTTATCTTACCTCTTAAAGATTAACAGTAAAATTATTTCAAAATTATATTATTTCAATAAAGCACCATAAGAAATAATAAAAAAACACTCTAAGCCACGCTTTAAATATGATGTATTTTAGTTTTTTCCAATGAGAGTTTATTAAAATTATATAATTTTAAGATAATTTTTCTCTTAATTTTGAGAA